TAACACGAAAGGAAGCATTTAAGGCAAGCCTCACAACATCTTGCCAAAAATCCATCTTTTATCATAAACATACAGATTAAGTCATCAAGTAGTGGAGATGCCGCTCATCTCTTGAGGAAAAAGGGCAGTGTAGGAGGGGGTGGAATCAAGTTTCAGCAAGGGAGGGAGGCAAACAGCAGCACCTGGAGAGTAGTCTCGTGCGGGCGGGGCGCGCAGGGGGAGGGGCGGAGAGGGGAAGGGGGAGGAGACTCTCGCGTCCCTGCCCCGCCTTCCCCCCCCCACCCCAAGGCGGCGGCGGCGGCGGCGGCGGTGGCGGCGCAGGGCGGCCGCGCTGCTGTCTGTAGCATCTGCGGCAGCCCTCGCCGCCCCCTGGCCGAGGCTCACCCCCGGCGATCCCGAGCCCGAGCACGGCAGGCAGCTCGCGGCGCGGCGGCACGGGGCCCCGGGAAAGTTCCCAGCGCGAGCGCCGAGATGCCGGGCAGCGACACGGCGCTCACCGTGGACCGGACCTACTCCGACCCGGGCCGGCACCACCGCTGCAAGAGCCGGGTGAGAGGCGCGCGCGGAGTGGCGGTGGGGGCGCCCGGCCGAAGGGCGAGGCCGGGTGGGCTTGGGCTCCCGCGGGAACGACGTCGCCCTGCGCGTTTCTCCGCCTCCCTCCCTCTCTCTCTTCCGGGCGGCCCCGAGTCCGGGCTTCCCCGCTCAGTTCGAGCTGACGGGCTTGGGAAGTGGGGAGTGGGAGCCCGGCCCGCGGTTCTGAGATCCCAGGTCCCCCTCCCGGGCGGGGGTGGCGCAAAGCACCGCCCGCCGTCCTCTTCCGCTCGTCGGTCCCAGCGCGCCCGGGTCTCCCCGACGGCCGGCGCTCCGCCGCCCTCTCTGCCAGGCAGCGCCCGCCGTGCGGTGGGGGACGCGAGGGGATCCCGCCATCCGCGGCACTGTGTTCGCGGAGGACGGCCTCCTTCCCTCTTTGTAAGCTCCGGTGCTGCCGCCGCGTCTCCGCAGCCGTCGGGGATTTCGGGCTCGGGGCTGGTGGCCGGAGCCCGCGCGCTGCGCGCGGCCGGAGCGCGGAGGGGCGGCGGACCAGCTTCCCGGTTTCCCGCGGCCGCCCCTCCCGGCTCTGCCCCAGTGAAAAGTCATTCTGCGCGCTGCCTCTTCAGAGTTTTTAGCCGTGCGGAGCCGGCGCCCTCTCCATTGTTTGCAGGGTAATTTGCTGTTGCTGATTTTGGCTGTGGGCGAAAATAGCTTTTCAGAGTATGCAGCGGAGACGAGCCGTACAGTGCTTGAACGTAGAGGGAGGCCTCAGCCTGAGCGCTGGTCCCTCGGGGATACCTTTATTCTCCTGAGGTGTTCAATCGTCCAGGCTCAATACTTCGCTCTCCCCTTGGCTGATTGAAGTGCCATTTAGAACAGCAGCTCCTCCACCCTGGCATTTGTTCGGGCGGGGGATACCTGGGGGTGTTCTTTGCTCTGACCGCTCACTTGTCCGATCTCAGCCTTTGAGTGCCAGCCTCCCTGCATCAAGTTCACGGAGGTAGGGTCGTGCTCGCATCGGTTAGTCAATTTAACAGAATGATTTAAATTTTTTCGGATTAAATATATTTAGTGGAATAATACTTACCTCCTGCATCCTGTTCACTCTACCCTCCCCCCAAATAATTCTCTTAATTTTTTAAACTTTCTTTAAAAGTTCCATACAGTTTGTCATGAAAATAACTAGAAACTCCATTTGGAAGAAAACATTGATAAAAGATCTTTGGTTACCTACAGTTAGAAGTTTTTGGAGGGATGGCTGCTGGTGAATACAGTGTTAAATGCGAAGAAAGGCGAAGATCTTTTTCTAACGCGTTTGTAATTGGGAGGGGTGGCTCATAATGTTGTAGCTGACAGAAGAAATTTCAGATTTGAAAAAAATGTGGAAGCTGGGTTTCTCTTGTCACAACTGTGGTGATCTTCGCGTAAACAACAGGATTAGTAATCTTTGCGGGATGGATGGCTCACTGAGCCCATTTAAGCAATTTGGCAAAACTCACGGAACTTTCCAAAACTCACTCTTTTTACTACTGAGATGGAAAGTGGCAAAGCAGATGTGTAAGTCAGCTGAAGACTTTATCTCTCCTGTATCTGCCATTGTTCCATTTCCACAGCCATTTTTTCTGTTAAAGGACCGCAACCTTATGTGAAGGGTGTTTCTTATTTTGTTTAAAATTCTACCCACAGTATCAAACTACTACATTGTTTTGTTAGCATGGAGATACCTGGTTTTTATATAGACCGCGTATTAAAACTGAGTTAGACATTATATGTACTGATTATTCTAAATGAGCTTATTGGGCAAATGAAATCTGGTGAGGGCTGGAAGAAATTGGATCAAAGAAGGCTAGAGCTTCAGTGGACAGGGATCACAGGTTCTACAGCACTGATGATGCTGAGATCCCCGTTTAAACTTCTTGACTGTCTGCTTTTAGGGTATTTATTGTTGAGACAGTGGTGAATAGAAAGAACAAGTGGCAGTTTTGAAAACTCCTAAGAGCCTTTCTCAAGTGGGGCTGATGTAATTTTGATCTGTCCTGAAGGCAGCAGTAAGTCTGCTATAATGAAGGAAAGGTAGCAGTAATTTTCCTGTGCAGCAGGTAGCCCATTAGATGATTCTAATTCCTCTTTTGTGGAACTCACTTAGATGTAGCTATAAAGATTTATTTTCTTTACACTTAGAATGTATATAATGCTGAGGGAAAACATCAAGTGGCACTAAGGTTTAATTTCTTGATGTCACCTTCTTGACTTAGCAATAAACCATCTAGTACAGGATTTAAAAATAACTTTTTTATGGACTCATTTGGTAAATGAGCTCCCCTAAAAACACTATAATGAGAACTGGAGGTGCATGTGAAGAGCTGATAAACTTTCAGAGATATGCAGATTCCTCCCAGGCAGGGGCTAAGACTATGAGATCAAGTTCTTGGTTACCGAACGGTCATTTTTTGAGTTCAAAATTGATACTTTGTTGAGAAAACAGGGAACATACACATCTCTCTTGCTGAGCTTGTTTAAGCCTTTGAGACTAGAATAATAATGAGGCAGTGTACTATTTTAACAGTGTACAAGTCTATTTTTACAGCCAGGTGGATTAACCTAAATTTTTCCCCCCTCAGTGAAAATTTAATATAACTGATGAATTCTGTGGTTGTCTCTAAGCTGACAAGTCAGGATCGTTCACATTTTTAAACTTCATCTGGGTAAAACTCAGAAATGGTACATGTTAAAACTCAATGCACTCAATGTAATATCCCTCTGCTTTAAAATAAAGAGCATCTGTAATTAGAATCCTGCTTTCTTTTTTTATGTCCTAGATAGTTAAAGCCTATTATCTATTTATTTATTTATATTTTAAAAATATTTATTTATTTGGCTGCACTGGTTCTTAGTTGCCGCACACGGGATCTTTAGTTGCAGCATGCGAACTCTTTGTTGCGGCATGTGGGACCTAGTTCCCTGGCCAGGGATCAAACCCAGGCCCCCCTGCATTGGGAGCATGGAGTCTTAGCCACTGGACTACCACGGAAGTCCCCTATTATCTTTTTAAGAATATAGGCAGTCTGCTTTCTAGACAGCAACTGGTCTTTATTCATCAATTACGTCTGAATAAAATTTTTGGTAGACCTAATTTTAAATGTCCTAAAATACCATCTTCAGCCACTTGGGTATAGTGGTGAACAGCTGTGGCTCTGGGAGCAGAAGACTTGGATCGTATTCTGGCTCTTCACACTTCCCAGCTGGGTGACGGCTGGGGCAGGGTCTCACCTTTCTGAGCCTCCAGTTCCCCATCTATAAAAGGTGATAATAATCCCTACTTTGGGGAGTGATTATGAGTCTTCAATAAGAGAATTTGTAAAAACAATGGTTGTGTATACTCAGGTATTAGCTGTTTTTCTCCATATATGTAAGGTGGATAATTTTTTTTTTCCTTGCTCTGTTGATACCACTAATCAGAACTGCTAGTTGTCCTGAGTGCCTGCCTTCCCCCCATCTCTAGTCTGTCAGCCATGCCATTGGATCTTTGACATTTCTCTGGAATTGGTTCCTTCCATGTTCCCCAGTTATCCCACCTTAGTTTAGCCACTTAAGACCTCAGGAAGAGATAACTGGTATGTTAGCTTCCTCTTTGGTCTCTGATGTCATCATCTTCTATTCCATCTAGCCTGCAAGGACCAGACTGTTCTGTCTACAGAAGCACTTTCATTCGGCTAGCCCGCAGAAGACAGATTCTGTGCTAGTAGTGCTGCTTCCTAACCGTGTCACCTTGGACCTTATAGTCATCCTAAGTCTTAGTTTCCTCTTCCACACCATAGAGGTGTTGTGAGTAATAAATGAGTAATGTCTAAAAATGCCAGGTCCACAGTGACAACTCAATAGATAGTGGTCAGTTTTTGTTATTACTATGTAAGACATATTCATAAGCTTGGAAATGGAAAGACTCTAATTTTGTGAATAATATAGAGACTTTTCTGGCACTTTTAGCATTTGGTACCTCCCTCCATTGCACATTCCTCATCAATTGATTGTTTACATGTTTATAAGCTATAGACACTGGCACTTTGAGAGCAAGAAGTTTCATTCAGCAAATATTTGTGAGCACCTTCTCTGGGCTAGCTGCAGGCATCAGGAATATAAGGGTGAATGAAACAGTCTGGCCCCTCTGGAAACTTAATATCTGGTGAGTGTATCTTATTTATACTTGTGGCCCCAGGAAATACCCTTCTCTTTTACAGGAGGAAGTGATGATAGTAAGTAGCCTCTAGCATCTGAAGTAAAACCTGTGTTGGGCATGGTTGCTACCTGTAGTACATCTTTATACATGCTGAGGTTTGGAAATTGATCCAGAATTGCACGATGAGTAATGGCCAGAGGCAGTCAGGAAGAAGCGGATGTCAGATCCCTTCTCACCATGGAAATGGTTGGGCAGGGGTGTAGTAAGTTGATGATCGCATGCTTACTCCCTGGGCAGGAACCAGGGTGAGTGGAAACTGAACTTCTGTTGCAGGTGACACTGACCTGGTGAAGTGGTAAGCTGAGTAAGTGGTGTGTGAGTACACTTTAAGTCAGTGATTTGTTTTATTCTCAAGAGTTAATTAAAGGGATGGTGAATAGATGAATGTCCGAGTCAGAATTTTCTTAAGTGCAACACGAACGATTGATGCGGTGCATGTTTTTTGAGCGATGTTTTGCTGCAGTCTCACCGGTTCTCCCTTTAGATCGGAGCGTGCTGCGATCCACCAGCATGCTTGCTTGTCACATCCACTGTAGAACACCAAAACAGCTCCGACCAAGTTGGATCGCAGGACTTCTTTGCTTCAGATCCACCGCCTGGATTTCCAGGGCTGCTCTTAAGGTCAGAAATCAGCCTCATCTTTCTAGGTGGATATTGCCCAAGTCTTAACTTAGGAGAGGCTGTAGCTTTCAGCCCTGCTGTTTCTTAACTGTGTTTTCATGTTTTCAGCAGAGAGGTGGGTGGTGAGAGAGAAGAGAACCATGGATCCCTGTACCGTGAATCAGAATGAGGACTTTACATTCCTCAGAAAAGGAACATCATAGTTGTGCATGATCTGTGCATAATCCAGCTGCTTCCACTGACTTGGGGGAGGGAGATGCTACTTGAAGGAGAATGTAGTGTGTGTGTTAATTATTCCTCTGTAAGAAGGCAGAAAGTACGTAAATGAAGAAAACGCAGCAATGGTGATAATAGCCAACGTGTACCAGTTCCTCACTATACACCAGGCGCAATATTAAGCACTTTAAATGCACCACCTCCTTAATCCTCACAATATCCTATTTATAGTTCCATCTTACGGATGAGGAAGTTAAGGCCCAGATGGGTTAAGTAATTTGTCCAAGGCCCTGTGGCTATTAGGAAATGGTGGAACCAGGGTTTGATGAACCCAGATCTAATAACAGAGCTGGCATTTTAACCACTTCCCAATCTTGTGCTCTTGAGCTGAGTATTGGAGAGCAGCTCAGTCTTATTTTTTTTTATTTTTTTGTCTGCGTTGGGTCTTCATTGCTGCATGCGGGCTTTCTCTAGTTGCGGCGAGCTGGGGCTACTCTTCTTACTGCGGTGGCTTCTCTTGTTGCGGAGCGTGGGCTCTAGGTGCGCGGGCTTCAGTAGTTGCAGCACGTGGGCTCAGCAGTTGTGGCACACAGGCTCAGTTGCTCTGCAGCATGTGAGATCTTCCCGACCAGGGATCAGACCCGTGTCCCCTGCATTGGCAGGTGGACTCCTAACCACTGCGCCACCAGGGAAGTACGAGCAGTTCAGTCCTAATAAACCTGCTGATTGCTTGGGGATGGATTGCTCAACTTCCACAGGGTGCCCAGCCAAAATTGTGCGCTCGGGATTCTTAGGACACAGCACTTTGCCAGTGCTTTGCAGATAGGTGTATGTTCCCAGTAAGCATTTGGAGAATGCACGATTTATGAACTTTTTATAATGCCTAAGATGTAAGAATTTTGACAGTAGTTGGGGACATCTTCAAG